GACTGCACCGGAGTCAATTGAGTCAACTGAGACAAGTGGATCAACTTATTTAATTGCCTTCAGCAAGCCCGCCGGCCATAGAGAGGTGGCCCCAGGGAGTTTGATGTGCACTCTAGGTGGAAGCCCGCGAGAGAAGCAGAAGAGAAAAGAAGGAGGAAGAAGAAAAATAAGAATAATAAGAAAGGAAGACGAAGACAAAGCTCTAAAACGGAAGCGGTTTGTGTAGCAAGTGCTGGCTGTAACATGCTGTAACATGCTGTAACAGCCTATTGATCGTATACCAAATTAGTACCGCCCCCAGCAAAGTAGCGCCAGGTACTATGTATGAGCCTCTGGCTTGACAGCAGACCGCTGCATGGAAGGAGACAGGGTGGAAGCGGAGAGAGATTGCCCCAAGGGAAGTTGATGTGCACGCTAGGTGAAAGCCTGAGAGAAAAGCAGAAGAGAAGAGAATAAGAAGAAGAAGAGGAAGAAGAAGAGACTAAAACAGAGCCGTAGATCAGAAGCAGCTTGAGTAGCAAGTGCCTGTTTGAACAACTTATGGACCACATACCAAATGAGTATATACTGGTCGATCAGTTTAGAACCGTGTGCGTCCTGTGACGATTGTAATGCTGTAGGCAGTGTCATTAGCTACCGGCACTACCAGTTTAGTACTTGTGGAAGAAGGGAGGAAGGAGTAGAGGAGTAGAAGAGAAGTAGGAGTTGGAGTTGGAGAGGGTTTGAGGAGAAGCTGGACAGGTAATATGGAGGTATGTATATGTATATATAAATATATGTCTTTTATTTTTCCATGGGTTTTGGGATATTCTTGGGTGAAGGTGGTAAACATTTCGAAAAAATTAAACGAAAAAATCGATCCATAGAAAAAATCTGAGGAAAAATTGAAAAAATGATACGGGGAAAATTTATTTAATTATCTTATTTAATTTTTTATGGTTTTGAACCATAAATTTCCTTTATATATATATATTAGAATTTAAATTATTTATATAAAAAAATATATATTTAAATTTAAAAATAAATATAAATTTAATATATAATTATAATATTTATATATATATATAAATTATAATAATTAAT